CCCCAAAACCCCAAAACCCCAAAACCCCAAAACCCCATCAAGGATAGTAAAAACTGCAAAACAAGTTAATTTTAAAATTTAAATTTACAAACTTTTAAAAGAAATGGAAGGCGGTTTTATAGATTCAGACTTAAAAGAGAACGATCATTATGGTATGCTTCAAATAACTCTCAGCCTATCATATACTCTATATCAGGCTCTTTTCTTAATTTTAAACCAACTTTATAACTCTAATAATAATTATAGACATTGGTTGACGGAAAATAGGAAAAATTTCAGACTCAAAAATACCATTCAAAGTTACAGATTCCAATATATCTTCTAGCTCTAGTGGCAAATAAGTCAGATATTACATCTAAAAAGAAGAAGAGGTCGTATTTAAACAAATTAACCCCGAAACAGTTGAAGGAGAGCTCGATGATGAACCAGAGAAGGAATGAGAATATGCCGTTCTCCCCAATAATTCCTAGTAAAGGTAAGGTTTTGAAATAATTTCATAGAAAGTTCTAACTCTACTATCAAAATCTCATGCGTTCAAAGCGAGGGTTCTTCTAACATAAAGTTTTCATACTCGCAGACCAAAGGAGCAGAGGGCAATGCAACTCCAAGGTTTACTGATTCTGCCACTCCGATGAAGAAAATGTGGAATACAAGTGATTTCCAGACCCCCAAATGCGAGCCTGCTGTGCTAGCTTCAGTGAATCCTTCATCTTCAAAATCACAGCTTAACAATGAGTATTTCCAAGTCAGCAGAAGAGTAAGAATTTGTTTAAAACTGATCGGTATAGTTAACGAGTGGGAAGAAGAGTAAGTTTTGACAAACTCCAATGCTAAGGCCTGCAGCAACACCTCATGTGTCCAAAACTTCATCTGAGAGTAACACAGTATCTGAGAGCAATAGTGTCACCCAGGTGGGATTGATCCCATCCCAAGTGACTAATTCATATGACAGGCCTTTAACCTCAAGTGAGAGTATTTCTAAAGGAACTAAGAACATTGCAGTTGTCCTGTTCGACTCTGCTAATAAAAATGAAAATGAATATCCTAAAGGAGGAGGCGGCACAGGACTGATGTATGGCACTAGTGATAAATCTTCTTCGTCTGATAAATAAGCTCAAAAATAAAGGTAGTGCTAGCAGTAACAGTAGTGGCATTAAAGACCTGCATGCTGGTATAAATTCTGGTAACTCCAGCTCTGATAAAAGTGAGAAAAGAAATTTAGAAATATTAGCACAACGAAATAATATTAGACTCCAAGATTTTTATAAATATGGAAATTCGGAAGATTCAAAGTCTAATCTAGAGAGAACCGATAATTCTGATTTGAAGAGAGCAGAGAATTCTCATATATGTGGACCTTCTCAATTCCAAGATTTAGATGAAGGCGACTACGATTCCACTCCAGAGGTGTACATTAAAATGAACAGTACTCCTTATACACTCTCTTATTCTAAGTCTGCATCTAAGAGAGAACAAAAATTAATGGAATCAGGGGAGTCCCAATATGTGAAGAGCAGTAAAAAGCCAGACTCACCTAATATCCAAGATTCTATTACAAACTTTCATAATTCTGAAGATAAATTTATCAAAAAGACTCCAGAGAAGATTCCATATGACCAAATTTCTAAGTCAGAGGATGGAAAAGACAATGGAGAAGGAGACATGACTTCAAAATGTCCTTCTTCTAACATAACTCCCTTCAAATCTCTTGAGACCATTAAAGAAGAAGAGACATACCTTGAGATTGAGAACACGCAAGATCAAAAGTGAGAACGTACTCCTCAGAATTTCGAAGAAGTAAAATTCAAGAGCCCTTCTTTAGCAAACTGAAGCTCAAATTCACCATGTAAGTAGATTTTTGAAGCAACATATAGTCCATGCAAGCTTTGGGAATAGCATGGCAAAATTCAGCACTATTAAGAAATCAGAAGTTGGATTTACGCCGCAAAAATAGAAATCATAATAAGTCAGACTCCTTTAATATCTTTACTCCTTCGCCTAATTCCGAAATGAAGAAGAAGGCAACTCCAGTGAAAATTTTTAAGAATATTACATCTAATGAGTCTGGGACGACAAAGAGGTTCATGGGAAAGGAGGTCAAGTCTGAGATCCACTCATCAGCTTGTGGTCAGCTCACTTGAATAAACTCTAAGTTTGAACATTTGCTAATCAGGAGCAAAAGTTGTGAACGGACTACGTTCAAGACACAGAAATTACCACTTAATTTTACTCATGATAAAGAGAAAGAGGATATAGCTGCCAAAGATCGTATGTATATGACTCAGAGAGGACAGAGTAACAAGAGACTCCAAGACCTCAGACAGGTTGTGATTGCATCCAGTGAGCCTACAATAGAAGAGAAGAAGGAGTTCACTTCCACTCAACCGGAATCTAAACATTTTTATACAACAACCGAGTCTGTTGGTAGCCAGAGTAACAAATTTGAAACTAAGGTATCACTTGGTTTAAATTTTTAGAATATTTCTGAGAAAGACCTTGAAAAATTCGTAAAGCCAAGAACTCTCAGAAGCAGCCTAACTTCTCAAGTATTACATTCCTTTAAATCCTATAGAGATCCAAGAAACTGCAAAGTCCGTCAGAAAGGTAACTCTTTTAGTTAATTTCTAGCCCAAACGAAGTAAAGTTCAAAGATCCTCCTGTACACAGCTCAGCTGATCAGAAATCTGGAGATAAAATATTGAAGAAGTCTCTTCTTCAGCAATACAAAAAGTCAAACTCTAAATCTACTACGAATATCAAGAAATTGTATAGTGAATATCTCAAACAGAAGGATGGACATATAAGTGTCAACCAGATCAAGCGTAAAATTATACCTCATTTTATAGCGCCTTCTACCTTGGATTTGAGAACTCCTAAGGAAAGTCAAGATAATAAACGCCATTTTGAGATCCAGACAGAGCCTGTCTACATTATTCACCCACAAAACAAGAGGTTGGTTCAGATGAGATCAGCTAAAAAGTTAAACTTTTACTCCAGAGGTACGCTTGCCTCTTATTTTCTAGGTGAAGAGAACAGACCTGTGAATACAGCTAAAGGGCCAATAAGTTCTAAAAATATTGACAAGATGTGGAATAAATTCAAGAAGAGGAAATCTCTTCTAAGCACAAACCAGAATCACCTAAGAGTAAGTCTCCATTTTTAACCTGTAGAACTCAAGGAACAACTTGCACAGCCCTCAGAAGAGGAAGAGTAACCTATCTCTCTCACCTATAGGCTCCAAAAACAACCAGGTATATGAGAAGATCAGGGCTATTCTGAACCAAAACCGTATTCTACCCGCTTTACCCTATAGACATCACCGATATGAATGATAGTATATTAGACCAGAAGATCTCTATCAAAGAGCTTATCCTGCTCTTACTGGACCATGTGGAGAGCCAGAAGTAATCATCACCCAAATCTAGGGAGAGAAGCCCTCTACATTTTTCCATTTAATGGCTAAATCAATCTTGTAATTGAAATTAGGGGTTTTGGGGTTTTGGGGTTTTGGGG